CGGGCACCATCAGCTTTCTTCACCACATTTGCTTTTGCACCTGCTTTTTCCTTCAGTGATTGTGTCTGGAAGGTGAGCATCATGCCATTGACTGCATTCTGACTCCGTGATCCTGTAGGACACAGTGGGACTGCCCCATAGGGTTTCCTAACCTATGATCTTCATAAGCGCATCTCCAGGTCCATCCTCCCTCAGAGTCATGGGTAGGTTCAAGCTGCTGACATTTCCCAGTTAGCAGCCAAGTGCGTCACCATGGTGCCGCCAGGGCTTCTCTCCTTTGATCTAGTGGCATCAAAATTAGAATCTGAATGACAAGAACAATCCAGCATGTGAAGGGCATGGGGAATTGAATCCTCAGCAGAGCATATATACAGGACAAACGCTCCACACCTGGGAAGGACATGAGTGGGTTGGAGGAACAGCGATAAGGAGTGTGGGGCAGGTGTGTGATGGGGACGGGAGTGCGGAGCAAGAAAAGGTGCAAGAAGTAGGCAGTGGCCAGGATGAGACTCATGGCGAGGCTAAGGCACATGCTCTTTCTTGCCCTGGTTCTAAAGAAACTAAGGGAATATGGGTGATGGTGGACTTCGAGATCCACTCAGGGCCTAGACCAACCCAGGGAGAGTGTTGGATAGCCAGTCTGCTGCTGGACAGCTTGCCCACTCCTATTGTACCCAGGAAATACAAAACTCATGTGGGTTCCAGAATGTTGTCATGCCTGCTGGGCTCCCTGGAGCTTACTACTCATCTGCTGGGGACTGAACAGACACTCATCACGTGCCTGAGCACACGTCCGGGCAGGCACCCGTAAAAGCTCTTTTTGTCTTATCTTGTTACCTTTTGTTCAGCAGTTTGCCTGTCTGTGTTATAAACAGGCAAGATAATGCCATAACAAAGGGTTGTGTGGTGACAAATACAAGATGACAATATTGCTCACGTAGACTGGTGAAAAATAGACCCTTAATATGCACCAGCCTGGGCATGTATTTAGCCAATTTAGCTGCTTGGTGGCAAGTTTTGCTACTATCACAAATGCTCAGTGCAAGTTGTCACTGAAGGAAAATGCCTGGTGATCTACTTTTAAGAAACCAACCATTGAAAACCCTGTGGAGCCCGCTCTTGCTCTGACCCACAGGGGCCCGCCAAGAGCGAGATTTCAGTCCACAGGAACTCTTTCAGCTATAATAACAAGTAGCTATATGGCCTTTGAAGTTGGTGTTCAAAGGGCAAAGTGTTCGACAGATCCTACCCTTCTGATGCAACCCAGTCAACATGTGGACTCATGGAACCCTGGGTCAAGTGACTTGTTGGCAGCAGACACACAATCTGGAAGTTCTATTTTCTGTGGCATTGGGGGGAAATATTAGATGCGGTTGAAAATGCCCCATGACGTTTGATATCGAGATCGAAGGGTTCATTCCACCCATTTTCACAGTAAGCGATTGTTTAAATAAAATGTCGTTTCTTCCGTACCTGGTTGCTGCCTGCGTAGACATAGCCTCAAACAGCAATTATGGAGCTGGGTGGAAGCTTGCAAGGTTGTCCTCTTGCTCTGGCTTGGTGAAGGCAGGGCCTAAGGGTGGGCATAAATGACAGTAGGAGGAGGAAGTTACTTCACAAAGAAAATGCAACTCAGTAGGGGTGGAGGCTGGCAATCTGCTAAAAGGAAATGAAAGGGAATTCCTCATTTCTAAACAGTTCATGGACCCATGATAATAAAGCAGCCTTGCCCAAGAAAGATAATGATCTTTTTAAGTATCAGATGCCCTATGGGTGAAGGCCTCCCTTCTCCTTTCTTGAAAAATGAACTCAGATTAAACAAATGGCCTCTTTCCTAGTTTACCGTTGACATGCGCTTCCTGATTATGAGCAAAATTAATCAGTCTCCTCTTTCTGCTTCTCCCCACTTGCTTATGGAAATTGGACCCGCCCAGCTGAGTTCCCTGCAATTCCCTTCTGGCCCTGAGTCCCAGGGAACCTGTGATGGCCTTAAGTGCTTGGTATTCTGGAGAGAAGGCTAGCAGCAGCCTGGTGTCTTATGCCCCGTAGCTGCTTAACTCCAGGCAGAAAGAAGCATGTTCTTGTAAAACAACCAGGAAAGGTGTGGGTGGGGAGGGGGGGTTTTGAAAGAAACAACCACAGAAAGCAGCAGTGTTTTGTGGCCGCTTTTTACTCGCTGGTACCTGAAAACCAAACAGATATGTGGGTGTGTGTGTGAGAGAGAGAGAGAAGAATTCAAATACAAAAATGAGCTGCAAGGTTACTGATGATATTGCAGTGTTGTTAATTTTCCACCTATAAGTAATCAAATTCAACATCCTGTTTCTATCGATTCTGTTTGCTCGGGTCAGTAAGGTAAACATGTTCCTGCTTCATTCGGAGAATGCACTAAGATGGCTCATTTGTATAAGCCTTTGCTTCAATTTGATGACATCCATGTTCTTGGTCCCTTCATAGGCAGTCAAAATTGTCATAAATTGCTTAGTCACACTGTATATCTATCTCCTGGTTATAGATGAGGTTCAAGGTAGTTTTTGATTGCCTACACTTACAAAAAATATAGAGCATGTATTATTGCATTTTTATGACCTATTTCTCTAAAATTCCAAACCCAAATCCACTGCTAATCAGTTGATGACCTTGTAGGGCATGGTGACCCTACAGTACAGGGCAGAACTGTCCCTGTGGGTTTCTGCAATTCTAACTCTTGACAGGAGTAGAAAGCAGCTGGTTGCTTCAAACTGCTAACCTCAGGGTTCTTAGCCCAACGCATAACCACTATGCTACCAAGACTCCTCGTTTCTTTAGAAGGATATGAAAGTTTAATTCTGAAATCAATCAGCTTCTTCCATTATCCCTCCCTGCTTTTTCCTGCGTGGAGTGGACAGGGCTGTAGCATAAGGTCAGGGGATAATGGTCCAGAATAGATCATGCCTCTTGGCATAATAAGCTCAGCAGACCTTTAGTTTCTCTGATTCTAATGTCCCGTTCTCTTTTTTAAAAAATGGAAAAAATATTCTTCTGCATAGCAAAGCATTCCCTCCTAAATATAATTAACCATGTTAAGCACCTCTCTTTGAACTTGTTGGAATTCAGTGCTTGGTAAACATTTGTTTCTGTTTTGCTCAGTCTTTGAGAGTTCAGGGCAAAGGGAGTTGATACTGTGGGTAGAAACTGGTCACTAAGAATGATGACCGAAGCAAGCAGTGTGTGCGCCTTAACTGCCCTCACCACAGATGTCCTGGTGTGTCCACTGCGGCCAGTAGAGCGCTTCCGAGACCTGCATCCTGATGAAGTGGCTGATTTGTTTCAGGCCACCCAGCGCGTTGGGAAGGTGGTGGAGCAGCATTTCCAGGGAACCTCTCTCACCTTCTCCATACAGGTGAGTGTGCAGATTGCTCCACACTGAGGTTCCTTTCTTTCCGATCCCAGCATTGGGTTCTCTGCCCGCCTTGACTTGCCATTTCACTGCGAGAGAAGCTGTGACCGCTGTCGTCTGATATAAGAGCATCAAACTGTGTTCCTGAGCCAGGGCAGCCCTGGATCTGTCCCCTGGGCTCAGATGGCCTGAGGCAATGCTGCGCCATTATCTTCAGTTCAGGTGGGAATAGCACACGTGTGACTTGGTGGTGATTAGACATTCTCTACATGTTTTGCTAGACCTGGGGCTCATCACGTCATGTCCATTCCATAATAAACGTGTTGGGATACTCACTTCCAAAGCAGCAGTGACATGAAAGGGGAGGTGAGCCTTGCCCTCATGAGACTTACCTGTTCCCCTTGGATGCAAGCCTCAGTGATGGATCTTGGATTTGCAGGTGGGAACTGGGTTGATTGCTTGGATGTGGTCAGCAACCCTGTGAGGAAGGAGACCACCATCACTAGAGTTCTTGAGACAAAGCTTTAGCAAGCTCATACCAGGGTGGGAGGAGCAGACCCTGGTGGGTCATCAGCTGTGCGCATTGAGTATATGAGTAGAAACATACTCTGAGCCCCTGCAGAGCCGCTATGGAAAGAGCTGGGGCTATCAAGTCACTATTTGGGCAGAGGAAGAAAAGTCCTTTGTGGCTCAGATATTTTATGACTGTGATAACCCTTTGGAAAGAAATGAGTTGTCCTATAATGTGAAACTTAGTTCTTAGCATTGAAAGCTGACCTGTCTTCCTTTATCCCCATCAGCATTTCACCATAGACCTCCAAAGAGACCAGATAAAGCAAGCCAGTGAATAAAAAGTTTGGCAAAAAGTGCACATCTGAGGCTCAAAAAACAAGGATGACAACAGGGAGAAGGGAGGGATGGGGTGGGGGAAGGACATTAACTATGTATTTATATGTATATATGTGTATTTATATGTATATATGTATATCAGCAGTTCTCAACCTGTGGGTCACAACCCCTTTGGGGGGTCAGATCACCCTTTCACAGGGGTTGCCCAATTCATCACAGTAGCAAAATGATAGTTGTGAAGTAGCAACAAATAAAATTTTGTGGTTGGGGGGTCCTGACAACATGAGGAACTGTATTAAAGGGTCACAGCATTAGGAAGGTTGAGAACCACTGATGTATCTGTATATGTCTATGGAGGGTTTAATAGGTTGTTGTTATTAACTTTATTTCTTGAGATGGGCCAAGTAAATATAGTGTGTTTCTTTAAAAATGAAACAAAAAAGACTGCAGATTCCTTTTCCTTCAAACCTCAATAGTGGGTTGAGAGGCTTGAAAAAAAAAAAAAGAGGAGGAAAAGTAAAATTGAAGTGAACCTGGAGTCGTTAATGACAAATAAGTTCATCTAAAAAAAGGGGGGAGGTTTCTCAAAAGATCTTCTTTGGCAGGGGGGGGGCCCCTGCTATCTCTATGTTGAGAGTATTGATACACCAAACCATTAAATACCATATGTGTATACAATTATGTGTCTGTAAGAGAGGGGTGGGCATTGAATCACCTGTAGGCAGATCACTTAGCTTAGGTTGGGTTTATCAAGCCACAACCCGTGTATTGAGAGAGACTGATAGCAAGTAGGTTAAGACATCTGTCAGTGTTCAATGACATACAAGAAGAAAAAGTCATGTTTTCAGGAGATGGGCCCATGCTTTTAACTAATGTGACCCACTAGACAGTAAGTGAAGTGCATGACTATAAGGACGAGGCTGTGAATAACCTCCAGGGAGTGCTTTCATATACACGACCAATCTCCTTTGTACGGCCTATTTTTTCATCCAAGAATGGATTCATTGGACAATCACGTGTGCACTGCCACCCCCACCCACCCCCGCAGAGGGTTGTCAAGCCTGTGACCCTTTCTTTGAACGTAGATTCCCAGACCTGTCTTCCACTGGGTGTTCCGAGGACCAACCTTTTGCCTGGCAGTTGAGGACTTAACCATTTGAACCACCAGGGTCTCTTCTATCACATGCACAGACACCTGTGTGAGTGTAAATACAGGAAATCAAAGTTTTACAAAACAATCCTTTGTGCACGCCGATAGATTTTAGTTGACATATCCTCATTTGTTTTTAGTGCAAGTCACGCGTCATTCAGTTGACTTCATGACCCACTAATGGGTTATGTTTTAAACCCACTGAATGTCTACCATTCAACTTCATCTTCACCACTGCAGGGCAGGAATTCTCACCCCATTAGTCAGACAGTGATGCTGAGGGTCAGAAAGGTAGGGAGACTTGCCCCAAATTGCCAGAGCCTTACTCCACTGGGGCACATCTGTTAGATGCATAGCTTGATCTACTGCACTCAAACCAGCTACGCAAAATTCTTTGGTTTTGGGTGTTGGATGGTCGCTGGGTGAGTTTGTTCATGTTCAATTAAGAAACCAGTTTTGGGGGGCTTCAGAAGATGGAGACAGGGAACCCAGGTGGGGAAAATGCTACAGAGGAATGTTCCCAGGTCTCTTCTCGAAGGTCAGAATAGCCAGAGAATACCCCTACCCACCCACTCCCCCTGCCCCACCAGCTCTCTTCCCATATGCTGCCCACTGTGCTGGCTTCCTGGATGCTGTTCACAGCTGACTTCCGGAGTAGTGTGGCCTAATAGTGATCAGACATTAATGAAACTATGCCTGACTTAAAGATAACCAAAAGGTGTGATACTTCACCTCCCCAAACGTTGCCAGTCCTCCTTTTAATGCAATTAAATCTCCAGCCAAGAGCAACGAGCATGAGACTTAGCAAGGGGTACGACTCACTGGGTAATTTATATCATTTTTATCCATAACTTCTCACTTACTCACAGGCAGAAATGGAGAAGTGTCTGTTCCCACACATTTGGAGTGAATGGTCCCCACGAGAATACTATAAATTAAATTAACACACAATGAAATTGGATCTAAATTATTAATGGGCGATATTTCTGAATAAGCAGGAGCTACCATCTCTGTCCTAACCTCGTTTTTGTTTTTTTCATTTTCCCCTGCTTCTAGGATGGCCCTGAAGCTGGACAGACTGTGAAGGTGAGTGCTTATTATATGCATACAAATTAATAGGGGGCAATTATGAGAACTAATAAAAAAAAATCAAACAGCAGCTTCGTTATGTCATCTCCGAGGTCAGGCAGACCCTCGGTGCTCCGGTCATCAATCCTGACATTATAAACGGTGCCAAACATTATGTCACCCCCTTCTTTTACAAGACATTTACCTTGTGTAGTAAACTTGTCATTGGGCAAGGGCTAGAACAGATAGAGAACAGGGAGCCCTAAAGCAGATGCTGAAGTCAAGGGCGTTCCTGTGAAGCTGTGCCTAAGACAAAAGCTGTGCTTTGTATGGCCTTGCAGGTGACATGGCCCACCGGGGTGTCTGATCTTGTGCCTTCTTTTCTGGGGGGAGTCTCTCAGGCTCAGCTCTTGACTTCAGCTCCCCTGCCTCTCTCAGCTCTCCTCCCTGTCACTCCCACACCTACTCTTTCCCTCCTTATGTACTTAATACCAAAGTTCAAACCTAATGGAGTCAGTGGAGCTCAAAAAATGTGTTTTTAAGTGTGCTGAGAGCGGAGAGGAGGATTTATTAGGATAGTCTCTGCTTCCGTGGTTAAAATAAAAGAATCAAATCCTGGCTGAGCCTAAAGCTGGGTTTCAGCCCCTTTCATAGAAATGCAAATTCCTGGGCAATTGGGTCCTAAGCATTGCGTCATAGAAAAAGCTAAATTTCTTTGTGGTGCTAGGAATCAAAAGTAAGTCACCCTGGGGTGCTAATATGATTATACTTGGGGAATCCTGTTTTATGGCTCTGAGCCAGGCCCTGAGTGGGTAAGGTAAAAGGTTGGCACGGAACATTGTCAAATGATCTTTGTTTTCTCCTAATTGAAGTGTCATTTGACTTTAATGTTGTACAAAGCTAAGACAGGAATTTTAAAAATTGGACCTCTTGGTTGAGCCTTTTTAGAGAGTCAATTTCCTATAAAGACAAATGGGGGCCACCCAAGTCCTTCTAGCCGAATAGGGCAGGACTCACCATGTGGTGATGTGAACAGAGGAAACGTGGCTTTCCTTCCGTCACGCTGAACATTCAGGCAGGAGAAAGGGTTGTGAGGAATAGAAGTTCGTTGGCTTTTTGGAATACAAAGCCACTGGGTCCACACTTGATTGTCCAGGGCTGTTCTTTGCCTCTTTGAGTTTCGTTTTGTCAGCATAACATCGAAGTGCAGGCTTCAACAGCAGAAGGTTGGCTGCATTATGCAATAGCTCCCGGATGGGCTTCCTTTCTCCCTTCCTGGAAGTGATGCTGTAGAAGCCGAGGTGAGAATGAGTGGAATATGCAGATTGCTAATGGGATCATAGTCTCACAGGAAAGATACCTAAAATTGATATGAGTCGGTAGGTTACCTGATCTAAGAATTTTGTTTTAGAATTCAGAATGGAGCACAGCCACAAGTCAGAATCGGCTCAATGGCAACTGACAGCAACAACAACACAGAGAGGGTTAAGAACCTCTGTTATAAAGACTGGCATTGGACTCGTATGACTGACTTTGATGCATATCTAAAAGCATCCAATTCATTGAGCCAGGACGTGGATTTCTGTCTGCCTGGAGCTAGGGCAGAAGGTGGAGGAGAGTGATTATTCCGGTAGAGTTTCTCGTCAAGGGGATGAAGGGTTCTGGAATTAGATCGGGGTGGTGACTGCCTACCTTTGTGGACAGACTAAAAACCATGGGATTGTGCACACGAACATGGCAAGGTTTGTTGTACGTGCGTTATAGCTCCAGTAAAAAAATAATAAAACAAACAAGCAGGCATGGAGTGTAGCAGGACTGAAAACCACAGGTATACATGCTTTGACTCTAATCATGAACTTTTTGATGCTGCACATATCTGGCCAACATTGTGAACATTTTAAGGCTGCTAACCACAAGGTCAGCAATTCGAAGTCACCAGCTGCTGTGTTGGACAAAGGTTCTACTTTCTACTCCCAGAAAGACTGACGGTCTTTACTGGAGAAGTTCTTCTCTGTCCTGTAGGGTCTCCATGAGTCAGAATGGACTTGAAGCAGTGAAATTGAGCTATGTTTGATAATGAAGAGGGCAAATTAATTGTTCAGATATATTTGAAACCCAATGTATTTGAGTTGCTAAATGATTATTATTGTCACCACTGTTATTATTTAGCTCAAGTCATTTTTTCGACCTTTCTATTTTTTCACAAGAGATTATATTGTTTTAAACATTTCTAGTTATTTTTCATTCTGCACCATCAGGGCTATTTAAGTCCTTGGTGTAATGTAAGGGCTCAAAGGAACCCATACGTACTGAACCTCTATGGCATGGCGTTTTGAAAGGAACTGGTTGTGAGACTGTATGTCCCCAGAATTATTTGGACTACATGCCTTTTCAGAAAAAAAATTACTCAATGCTCCCCCCCTCTCCATAATTAAAAACTTTTATACTATGTTCAATACTTTTTATACTATATTTTATACCCTTTAGTGCTTTTTAATCCTTTTTTAATCCTTTATATTTTTCTACTTCATTTTATACTTTTGTACTGTATCCCACAATCCAGCATAAAGTGCAGGTATCTGCTCTCTCAGTCCCCCTGGATCATTCCACTGTCCCTGGGGGGCAGTGTTAGGCACTTGGAGAATCATTGTGTTAGATCCTCTCAAAAAAACCTCCAAACTCACTGTCCTTGAGCTGATGACAGTGCGCAGCAACCCCATAGGACAGACTGGAACTGCCCCTGTGCGTTTCCACGGCTGTAACTCTTCAGGGAAGTGGAAAGCCTCGTTTTTCTCTGGACTGGTAGGTTCAACTCATTGCCCCAAGTGGTAACCCATTATGTCATCAGGGTTCCATGTAGATCATCTATAGATCTAAAATTAAGAATTCCTGCTGGCAGCGTTGGGTATGCATCTGAGTTGCTAACTGCAGGATCAGAGGTTCCAGCCCATCAATTGCACCTCCAGAGAAGAGTGAGGCTTTTGTCTCAGGAAAAAGATTTTCAACCTTGGCTATGAGTCAGAATCTACCCCATGGCAGTGGGCTGGGTATACACCTAAAATTGACTAATCTATATATTTCGGTGTGAGTCTTAGACCCCCTTCATAGAAATTAAATGTGGTTTTACTTTCTAAAAGAGAGACAGCCTAGAGTCCCAGCACTTACCCTAAACCTACAGAGGAAGATTGTCTGCGGTTTGAGCCTGGGAACCATCACTATTAGCCAGCACCCCTAGTGCCTCCTTTCAGAGTGTCGGTATCCACGAATCTTACTATTGGGGTGATGAAACGGTCAGTGAGGCTGACCACACCCCGATGGCCGCTGGTTCTGCCACAGCCAGCTCCCGTGGGGAACAGAGTGGCACCTCCAGTGTGCAGCTGCTCAGGGACGATTCAAGGCGAAGCGTTTCATATTTTGAAATTCACACGGTTGCCCATTCTGAAGCCGCATTTGACAACCTGCCCTGCGAAACACAGCAACTGTTCGCTTCACCCTCGCCTCTTACCTCTGATTCTTGGTATTCTGCCCAATGCCTGGGTTCTCAGCCATGTTTGCCTCATGCTGGGTAGTAATAGCAATAAGTCCAGTAATGCTCTTTCCCCCAAGCTACTGTTGTTAATGAAGGCGCACTGCGGACTTAGGCTCTTGAACATAATGCCACTTTAGGAGTTTTTTGTTTGTTTGTTTCAAGAAGTTTAAATTCTGCTTTGCAAAGAACAAAGGTGGCCTCACTTGCTCAGTAAGGCACTTCTAGCAAAAAAGGGAAATGCCGAGAGAAAACAGGAACCTCTTATTTCGGGATTGATTATGAACTCTCCTTGTTGAAGTTGAAAAGTAGTTACCCAGCAGGTGATTTTTCAGTGATTGGGAGCATCCTGCAGACTTAAGAAAGCCTCTCTCTCTCTGTGTGTATATATATCCTGGTCTCAGTCCAATATCACCTCATATCAGGCCTTTCTGATCTTTGTTATTCAATTTCCTGGAAGGCATTCTTCTGTGCCTTGTATTGGTCGCTGTGTTGGTTTCTGCTCCTGGGCCTATGGAGCTTCTGCAGTCACTCGAGACGGTCAGTTTCGTGGCAACCTGGATCCTATTGTTACTGATCTGGCTCTGTGCGGTAGTGTGGGGGGGATGATGGAGGCTACACTGGGAACTTTACTTGCTAGGACGCATCTGTGTGCCTCAGGACTGGCTTTCCTTAACATGAAATAACAGACAATGGGTACTTATCTTCCAGCATGTCCGTAAGTCCCAGAAATCTGGGTTCCCTAACATTTCTATGAAGAATCTCCCATATTCAAGGCACTGGGGACCAAGATGTCAGTTTCCATGAATAAAAGCCATCCAGGTGCCCCAAAATGTGACTCCAACTAGCAAGCATGTAAGGCAAGGCTGAGTCCTTAAAAGGGATGCCACTTAGTAAGTTTAATGTGAGCTCACTTCTAACATAATTACTATATGGCCCTTTGCGTGGGAGGGTGTTTTAGGTATATTAAAGAGAGAGAGATTTGCCAAGCAGGTAAGTAACCTAGAATTTCATAAGAGCTATTTATAGAATAAGCTTACTTCTACTCTTCTATGTTTATGGTGCTTGAATCCTCTACTTAAAGGTTTAATTTTGTAGTATTAATGCAATGGGAAGTGTCTCTTAATAACTGTTGAGCTATTAGCAATTACTTTTCAGATTGCTCAATAAGAACAGGAGAATTTTTTTTTCAAAGTGCCAATGAAAAATTTGAGAGAAAATAGATGTGCTGTTTGCTGATCCGTTTTTGGAAGCCTAGCACAAATTTCCTTTTCCTCCAGTGGGGATTTGGTGATATTTTGGATCCATGAACATAAAGGACATTTTATCTCTTAATAATGTGCAGTCATGAACCCTCAGACTCTGGCGTCACTCAGAACTTTCACAGGAATATCAGCACTCCTGACTTAGTAACTGTTTGACTTTTGGTCACCCTATTGACTTCTTTATATCTCTAGCTCCTTATCTTTCAAATTGAGGCGCCCCGATCTAC